CTGCTGCTGCTGCTGCTGCTGCTGCTGCTGTCTCCTTTGCAGCCATTCGTGACGCCAGGGACCTCAACAGAGCCCCCAGGGGAGAGGGCCTCGCGCCCGCTGAGCTTTGCGGGGGCCCAGCTGGAGCTGCTGCGGAGTCTAAGCCATTCATACATGTCTAGGGCCCCCACGGTTCTCGGTAGAAACCCCAGAGAGGGGGGCCCCCTGCCCCGCGCATCCCCCACCCCGGGGGCCACCCCGGGGGCCCCCCCAGAAGAAGAGATGTCAGGGGTACTGTTCAGCGAGCCTGGGGGCCCCTTGAGGGGCCCCCCCTCCTCTGGCGAGGGCTCAGAGACAGCGTTCGGTGAGGGGGGGCCCCCCATGGCGGCCACACAGGCAGCAGCACAAGAGGAGGAGACTGGGGCCCCCCACGACAATGAAGTTTCTCTGCTTCGTGTTGGGGGGCCCTCACCGCGCGGCAGCAACAGCACAGACAGAGACAGTGCAGAGAGACAGCTGCTACTGGGGAGCCCCGCATACAGCTTACCCCAACAGGAGACAGAAGAGGCAGAGGAGACAGATGAGCTCTCAGGCGCCTTAGAGACCTTCTAGGGTTCTTTGGGGCCCCTAGGGGCCCCTACGGGGGGCCCCTAGGGGCCCCCCCTAGGGGCCCCCAGGGGCCCCCAACTCTTACTATTATATTCTCTCTCTTACTGGGGTATACGCTGCAAGGGGACAGCAACGAGGCAACCTTAATAGCCTTCAGCTTGGGGCCCTGCTAGAGCACATTGAATTAGGGTTTAGGGTTTAGGGTTTAGGGTTTGTGAATAAGGGTTTAGAGTATATAATTTAGGGTTTAGGTTATAAGATTTAGGGTTTAGGGTATTCAGCTGCAACTGCATGCGATTGCTGAGCCCCTGAGGGGGCCCCTGCTGAGCTGTCAAGGGGCCTCTGCTTTGGGGGCCCCCCCTGCCCCGCAGGGGGCCCCCTGCTTTGGGGGGCCCCCTGCTGCTTGGTGCTGTTTCTGCTGCAGCAGTTGCTGGGGTGTGTTTTTGCTGCTGTGT